GGAGGAGGAGGAGGAGGAGGAGGAGGAGGAGGAGGAGGTTAAGATGGCAGGTGAGAAAAGGGACGGAGGGAGAGAGCAAGAGACAGAGCAAGAGACAGAGAGAAGCACGTGCAGCCTGCGGCTGGCCAGCTCGCCAAGAGGAGCCCCGCCGCCGAGCCCGCCGCACTCCCGCAGGGGCCTCTTCCCACACGGAGGACTCCCCCTAAAGAAGAAGGAAAGCGCACTTCTCCGTGGCCCCGGGCCGCACGTGGCCGGCCGCCCGGGGTCTTTGTTGATGAATAATTCCAGCGAGTGGATCAGCGTGATAGGTGCCTACGCGAGCCCGTTACTCTCTAGGAGGAGCGAGACCCCCACCTTTATAAACCATAAATTCACTTTGTGCAAAATTCGTCTTCGTTGTCGTCTTCATTGCAGCAGTGGGCGGTGCGGAGAGACAGCGAAAGTGGAGATTAAAAGGAAAAGGAGCAAATATGTTATTCAAGAATTTTTCTTTCTTTTTTGAAAAGGGCGCTGCTGAGGGAGTATTGAGGAGAAAGGGACTGTTGCACGGTCTCGTGCCCCACACACACGACACGCATTTCACGGGCTGCAAATCCGACAACCAAACATTAACGCGTTGAGATTACGTCAGCGCGCCTACCGCCATTGTTACGCGATACAGAATCTAAGCCCGCCTACCGCCCTCCGCACCCTACACAACCCTTTCGCTCCACCTCGTCGTTGCCCCTTTTATTCAAATTATCGCTCTATTTTACGATGACGGCGCGTCAGATTCATTTCCTCCTCGCTGTTCTTCGGGGTGTAACACGCATGGCGGGCCCACGAGGGGCCCAGGCGCCCAAAGCACTGAAAAAGTTTTTATGCAACTTTACTTTTAAATTAATGCTACCGGAACTTAAGTTTATAGTCCCCATCGTTCCTATGTACGATCGGACCGACACTGCACACTTCAAATAATGCGCATAAAGATACATGGAAGATGGCTCACCGTTACAAACTATTAAATCAATATTATCAAATCAAATCAAAAACAAAACATTTTTCTTGAGATGTATACCACAATTCTGTCAACTTTCAAGTTAATTAACGGAAACATATTTAACACGCGGAGGGAGGGACCACGGGACCCAAGGTTGGGGAAAGCCAAGGATAAAAAACGACAGCAGGCTGCTCTTGTGTTTTTTCTTTCACACATTTTTCACGTCACGGATATTTTTAAGACGGCGCCAGTACTTCTTATTCGCTTCAATTCGCCCTTTGAAGCGGCAAAGGCGGAAAGAATGGAAGATTGCACTCGTTTGTTAGCGTCTGCCGGGGCGTTATGGCGGAAGGGAGTAGGGGGTCGGGG